GCTGACCCCATAAATAAATCTTTAAAAAAATTCTTTCTCCACACCCTTGCCAGCATTGTATTTTTAAACATTTTTTAAAAGATGTATTTATTTGTTTGAAACTCAAAGTTACAGAGAGAGGAGGAGAAATGAGAGAGATATTCCGTCTGCTGAGTCACTCCCCGAGACAGCTGCAATGGCCAGAGCTGGGCCAGACCCAAGCCAGGAGCTTCTTCCAGGTCTCCCATGTAGATATCAGAGGCCCACACACTTGGGCCATCTTCCACTGCTTTTCCAAGGCCATTAGCAGAGAACTATATCAGAAGTGGAGCAGCCAGGATTCAAACCTGTGCTCATATGGGATGCTAGTGTTATAGGCAGCAGCTTTAACTGCTATGCCACAGCGCCAGCCCGGTTCATGGATTCTTTGAAGGATTTGATTTATTTACTTGAGAGGCAGAGTTAAAAGACAGAGGGAGAGACAAAGAGAAAGGTCTTCCATCTGTTGGTTCACTCTCCAAATGGTAGCAGGAGCTGGAGCTGGACTGATCTGAAGCCAGGAGCCAGGAGCTTCCTCTGGGTCTCCCACATGGGTGCAGGGGCCCAAGCACTTGGGCCATCTTCCTCTGCTTTCCCAGGCCATAAGCAGAGAGCTGGATCAGAAGAGGAGCAGCCAAAACTCAAACCAGTGCCCCTAAGTGATGCCAGCACTGCAGGCCATGGCTTTATCCCCTACACCACAACACAGGCCCCCACCTTTTTTTTTTTTTTTTTTTTTTACTTTTTGATAATAGGCATTCTAACTGGAGTGAGATGATACTTCCTAGTGGTTTTTATTTTTTTTATTTACATATCCCTCATGGTTAGTTTTACTGTGCATTTTTTCATGTGTTCATTGGCCATTTATATTTCTTCTTTTGAAAAATGTCTTAACTACATAGTTTGTCCTGTTGAATTTCTTGAGCTTCTTATAGATTCTGTATATTAATCCTTCATCAGATGCATGGTTCGCAAATATTTTCTCCCATTCTTCCAGTTGTCTTTTCACTCTGTTGATTATTTCCTTTGTGGTGCAGAAGCTTCTTAGTTAGATATAGTCTCATTTGTCTATTTTTGCTTTTATTGACTGTGTTTTTGGGGTTTTATCCAAAAAATTCATCGCCAATGATCTGGAGTGTTTACCCTGTGTTTTCCTCTAGTAGTTTCATAATTTCAGATCTTACTTTGAGGTCTTTGATCACTTTTGATTGGATTTTTGTAGGGGGTGTAAGGTAGGGGGTCTGTTTTCAAACTTCTGCACGTGGAAACCCAGTTTTCCCAGTACAACTTATTAAACATACTCTTCTTTCTCCAGAGAATGCTTCTAGGACCTCAGTCACAGTTAAGTTGGTTGTAGGTGGATGCATTTATTTGTGTTGTTCAGTTTCAGTGGTCTTTGTGTCTGTGTCTATTTTCACGTCAGTACCATGCTGCTTTGGTTACAATCGTGCAGTACATCTTGAAACCAGGTATTATGATGCCTGCAGCTTTGTTTTTTCTGGTCAAGACTGCTTTGGGCCTTGAGAGTCTTTTGTGTTTCCATATGAATATTAGGATTGGTTTTTCTGATTCTTTTTTTTTAAAGATTTATTTATTTATTTGAAAGTCAGAGTAACACAGAGAGAGGAGAGGCAGAGAGAGAGAGAGAGAGAGGGAGAGAGAGAGAGAGAGGGAGAGAGAGAGAGGGAGAGAGAGAGGGGGAGAGAGAGAGAGAGAGAGAGAGAGAGAGAGAGAGAGGAAGAGGTCTTCCATCCAATGGTTCACTCTCCAAATGGCCACAATGACTGGGGCTGGGACAGGTTGAAGCCAGGAGCCAGGAGCTTCCTCCAGGTCTCCCGTGTGGATGCAGGGGCTCAGGGAGCTGGATCAGAAGCAGAGCAGCCAGGACTCAAACCAGCGCCCATATGGGACGCAGTTTTAACCGGCAACACCACAGCGCTGGCCCCTGGTTCTTACGTATTTATTCTGTATCCTATCTTTTTATTGAACACTAACTAATTTTCTGAGTTTTCAGCTGATTTTCTTACAGTTTCTACCTAATGTTAATTGTACCTGATTTGTAAGAGCTGTATCTTATTTTTTACTGGTCTCATATCTCACTGAATTAGGTCACTCCCTGACTAATTATTTGCAATATTCTTAAAGCAGATGTTTTATTTTTTCTCTGATTCCACTGAAGATAACTCCAGTGTTTCTTCACAGAGTATGTTATAGGCTGTTGGTAAGAAAGATTGTCTTACACTGGAAAGAGTCATTCTATTCCTGGATTTTAAAAGGTTTTGGTTTCTTTTTTTTAATGTTTTTTTTTTTCTGTTGTCTTTGTTTTTAATCGGGAAAATGAGGACTCCTCGTTTCCATTACCCAGCATGGAGGCAGGCAGAGAAGCACTCCATAGAGAGGAGAAGGGTTGCTGCTCCGTCTGGGTGACCCCTCTAATCCTCTCAACAGTTTTCTGTAAGCCACATCATTCCTGTTTTCAATGAGATGACTCCCCAGTACACCCTTCCGCACTTGGTGCACATCTGTCTACACTGAATGCTAATCTGCTCTGCATTGTGGCACAGCAGGATAAACCACCACCCGCACCACCAGCATCCATGTGGTTTAGTCCCAGCTGCTCCACTTCCGATTCAGCTCTCCGCTGATGCACCTGGGAAAGCAGTGAAGATTGGCCCAGGGGTCTGGGAGACCTGGATAAAGCTCCTGGCTTCTGGTTCCTGGCTTTGGCCTAGCTCAGGCCTGACTGTTGGTGGGCATCTGGGGAGTGAATCAGTGAATGTCTTAAGGTCTCTCATATCTGCCTCACCTTTTCAGTTTCTTTTTCTATCTCCAGCTGCCTCCTTTCAGGCATTTTTTCTTCCATTTTTCTCCCTTTCTACTAGCTTCCAAGTTATGCATTCTGTTTCTAGATTTCTACTGGTTACCTTGACACTTTAAGACGCATACTTTATTAATCAATGGGGATAGCGCTGTTGCATAGTGGGTAAGGCCACTGCCTGAAGTTCCAGCATCCCATATGGCCACCGGTTCGAGTCCTGGATGCTCTTCTTCCAATCCATCTCTCTGCTATGGCCTAGGAAAGCAGTAGAAGATGGCCCAAGTCCTTGGGCCCCTGCACTCGCGTGGGAAACTCAGAAGAAGCTCCTGGCTCTTGGCTTTAGATTGGCACAGTTCTGGCCATTGCGGCCATTTGGGGAGTGAACCAACAGATGGAAGACCTCTTTCTCTCTCTGCCTCTCCTTCTCTCTGTGTGTAATTCTGACTTTCAAGTAAATAAATAAATCTTTAAAAAATAAGCATACCTTATTAATAAAAATCTAAGTTATTTCCTTTTTTTCTTTGAATAACACAGAACCTTAGAGAAACTTTGTCCACTTCCTGACATCCCTTGATGCTTACTTTAGTTGTATTTAGATTTTTCTAACTCCCAAGACATTGTCATTATTATTTTATAGGGTAGGGAAGCTTTTTTCTGCCAAGAGCCATTGGGATATTTACATCATTTGTAGGCCATACAAAATTATCATCTTAAAAATGAGCCTGCTATAGATTTATAATTTCATGTGCTGCCTGTCGTTGCCTTGGCAGGGCCAGACCAAATGATTTTGTGGGTCTTATTGGCAGGTGAGCCATTCACCACCCAGTTATTGCTCATTTTGATAGTCATTTTTTTCCTTTTTCCGGATCTGCTCAGGTAGTTTTATGGTCTTTGCATCTTTACTTAATGTCTTCAGCATCTTCATTTAAACATACTCTGTGGTCTCATTCTACTGTTAGTTGTTTTTGCTGGTTCGTGCTCATGGTGCTGGGTTCATCTTTGACTCATGATTTGTGTTCACCTGCATTTCTCGGGAATTATGTGTGTGATTGTTGGTGCCCAGCTGGAAAGTGGGATGAGGACTGGCATCCACTTCGCTGAGTGTCCAGGGCAGCGACCAACTCCAGAGCACTTGAAATCAGATTCGAGGGTTGAGGATTTTGTGAACACTCCAAGTATACTTGTTTGTCTGCAAGCATTCTGATCAGAAAAATCGGGGCGAGCCCCTGCGTACCTGTTCAGTTCGAGTTTCCAGTCAGCCTATTTTATTCTGATTTCTGGAGGGCCAAGCTCAGGGACAGATTAATTTCTTAGTCACTTCATAGGTGGAACTGTCAGGCATCCATCATCTGTCATGGTATTAGAAGTAGAAGTGTATGTCCTGAAATTTCACTCCCAGTTTTATGTGGGCTTTGGAAGAGGCAGCATCATCGGTGGTGTGGTTGGCCTTAACAATCAGTGCCTGGAGAGAGTTTTGAGGGGTGAAGTGAACGGGACAGGCTCCAGCTTCCACTCATCGTCCTCGGTGCAGGTCCCGTGCAGAATCTCAGCCAGGGAGGACATCCTGAGTAATGACCGGCACGAGTTCTTCGAAATCCACTTAAGCCCCGGCTCTGCCAGGGCACAGGCCATTTTCTCCTGCACTGTGGTTCTGGCTCCCAGCTGCTTGGTTCCTCAGGGGAAAGCCCACTTTTTCCAGCTCTCTCTGGGATCTTGGGCCCTACCACACCTGAGGCACCGACCTCCCTGGATCTCCTCTATCCCAGAAATCACCTTGCGTAAGTCGTCTGTCCCACAAGCTGCTCCCTCTGACCAACTCACAGCTTCCTAACCCCAACCCACTCAAGAATCCCCTCCCTGATCCAAACAAGACAGCCTCATGTCCTCCCTTCCCCCTCCCTTCCTACCCTTCTCCCCCATGCTCTTTTTCCTATGTCCTCTCCTAGGCCCTACTGTTGTACACAGAATGTCTCGGTCACATCTTTTTTGATAACATCAGCCCCCGCTCATATTCATTCCATGAGCCGTCAGCTCTTGGTTGCAGCATCAGACTGAAATGCCACACACATACACACACACACACAGGCAACAGAGGGTTCCAAGGTCAGCCTGTCACTGTACAACCATTTCATTCCATGTGGCTGTTTTGTTTGTTTGCTTCTAGCCCAAGAGGCCCAGAAACCAACCTGGAGGTGCTATCTGAAGGCAGTGGGAAACAAGCTGGCCTTGCGCGCTGTGATGAAGCAGACTCCATGGGTGGAAAGCCCACCATCAGTGCAGATGAGGAGGAAGGGCCCCAGACTTGCCGTGTATGCGGGGACAAGGCCAATGGTTACCACTTCAACGTCCTGACATGTGAAGGCTGCAAGGGCTTTTTCAGGTAGTTACCCCTCTGCCTCTCACCCACCTGCCACCATCGGCACACTGGGTCCCTCTCTCTGGGTCGACCATGAGCCTGCGGGGCAATGCCGCAGGACCTCCACTTGATCCGTCCCCAGGCTGAGTGTGGAGTGGTGGCCCAGCCAAAGGCTTCTCATTAGTCTCGCCGGAGCCAAGCCATTTGCATCTCAGAGAAATCCCTCATCCTCGGTCTTCCCGCTCTACTCGGGGAAGGTGCCCTTCCATGACGATCCCTCTTTCATCTTTTCATGCATTCTTGAAAAAAACCAGACGGTCAGTCAGTGAAAGTACAGAATTCAAAAATGCACCGCGTGAGTATTCATGTACATTTAGGGGGATGCTTGTTAGAACGGCAGAAAATAAGTGAAAAAGATAATAAAATAAGCCCCCCTACTGATAGGAAGGACCAGAAGATTAAGGACTGAAAAGTCCCAGCCCCAGCACGGAGCCTTCCGCTAGCTTCACAATGAGGAAAATGTGTTGCCGCTCTTAACAGGAAGTCTGAGTTCATTGGCTCGGTGCTTTCCATGTCTCTCTTCCGCCATCTTACTGGACAGCTCTGACATCATCACTGGCTCCCCTTAAGGGAGCACAGAGCCAGGGGCTCAGGCTCTCTGCCTCCTCCCACCACCAGGAGAACCCACCCTGTCCTCCGAGGGAGAAAAGCCTCCGCATGGATAACCAGTTCCTCTGGCTGCTCCTGGCCACCCATCCACCCACCCCGGAATCCAGAAGTGGGATTGTAGGGCAAGGCGGCCTCCTGTGCGTCCATGCTCCTGGCCTCAGTTTCCTCCGGCCTCCTTGTCCAAGAAGGAGAAATCTGGGCAGAGGCCAATCTCCATGGAAACACTGCAAGGGTGTGAAGGAGGGGGGATGGCAGGGGCAGGGGACAGGGATCTGGGGCCTGGGGCTAAGCGGCCCAGAGAGTGGCCCAGGGGCTTCCTGTGGGAGAGTTGCAGGGCAGACCCCTTTCCCCGTTCTCCTTCCTCTAGCTGAGTCCTGGAACCCCAGGGAAGAACCCCAACCTTCGCGTGGCAGCCCAGAAGAGAGGAGGGCGCGGCCTGGGAGCCCCGCGGCAGCCCCTACCCCGTTGCTCCCGCTCTCCCGCAGGAGGACCGTGAAACGCAACGCCCGGCTGAGATGCCCCTTCCGGAAGGGCGCCTGCGAGATCACCCGGAAGACCCGGCGCCAGTGCCAGGCCTGCCGGCTGCGCAAGTGCCTGGAGAGCGGCATGAAGAAGGAGAGTGAGCAGCGGGTCCCCAGAGCGGGCGGGTGGGGGAAGTCAGGCGTGCCCCGCGCAGGCGCGCCCAGGGACACCTGTGCACAGGGTGTGGCACGTGCACCCACGTTCCCGGAGAACCCAGGGGCGCGTGGGAGATTGCTGCATGGGCCAGAGGCAGCCACGCGCATGCGAAGGGTGCTGGAGGGCTTGTAGCTCGCTCTCTGGGAGGCGTGGTGGGCTTTCCGCCTCTTCATAATCCTCATCCTGGTGCTACAACCAAATGAGGAAGGGGAGGCGCGGATAAGGAGGGATGGCCCCCAGTCTTTCAGATGCTATCTCTGTGTAGGGGAACTGTTTTGCCGGCAGGCAGGCGACATGGGGTGGTCTGTGCTGCCTGTTCCACATTAGTATACTCGCATTTCTGCCTCCGGGTGACTTTTTTTTTTTTTTTTTTAAGATTTATTTATTTATTTGAAAGTCAGAGTTATGCAGAGAGAGGTGAGGCAGAGAGAGAGGTCTTTCATCTGCTGGTTCACTCCCCAATTGGCCACAATGGCCGGAGCTGTGCTGATCCAAAGCCAGGAGCCAGGAACATCTTCTGGGTCTCCTATGCACACGCAGGGGCCCAAGGACTTGGGTCATCTTCTACTGCTTTCCCAGGCCACAGCAGAGAGCTGGATCGGAAACGGAGCAGCCAGGTCTCAAACCGGCGCCCATATGGGATGCCGGTGCTTCAGGCCAGGGCATTAACCCACTGCGCCACAGCCCGGCCCCTCCAGGTGGCTCTTGAGAGTCAGGCTGGGGTGGGCAACAGGGAGGCGGTGGGGACGGTGAGGGGAGGGCTAGAGTCACCAGGGCTGTGTTGGTCTGTAAACTCACGGCCCCGCCCCAGGCAGCCTCTCTTAGGGGTCCGGTTCTCTAGCCACGTAGGCAGGGAGCCTGGCCTGCAGCCGGCTGAGAGTAAGGATTGTGTGTGCGGATCTGCCCACTCCAAGCACCCCAGCAGCTGGGCTTTGCACACACGAGTGGCCTCCTCCAGGTATAGAGGAAACAGCAGAGTTGCTGTTCCTTGCTAGGCAGTAGTCCCAGCTCTCCAGGGTCTTGTAGACTCAGAGCCCTCGGGGGTCTCTGCGTCATTCACGAGAAAATAATCCTCTCAGGGCCATTTACTGAACATGTGTGGAGGCACTCTCTTTGGTCCCCTGCGTGCGCCTTCTCATCCTAACAGCACCACAAGCATCCTTGCTCCAGTGTGCAGGGCACGCGGCTAAGGCAGGCGAGGCTAAGGAGCTTGTGTGAGGTCATGGTCAATGGCAAAAGCTTCCTGTAAACCCAGTGCCTTTTAAGTGGAAGCCTGCACTCTCCCAGGGCCCCACAGTGTGGTCACAAATCCACTGCAGGGGGCAGCACCGCAGCCCCGCCTCACCTCTGCCCTCACACAGGTGTTTCTCCAGAGGAACCCACAGATCCCGTGCCCACCACCCCAAGTGTGGACAAGGGGGAGCTCCTTGCGGTCAGCACTCTCCCTTTCACCTAACGTATTCTGTAGCCTTGAGAGGGCTCTGCAGGGGCTCCCCCGGGAGCTGAGCCTGCTCGGATGTCCCCGCAGTGATCATGTCCGATGTGGCCGTGGCACAGAGACGGGCTCTGATCAAGAGGAAGAAGAGAGAACGGATGGAGGCTCAGCCGCCGGGAATGCAAGGGCTGACGGGAGAGCAGCGGATGATAATCGAGGAGCTGATGGACGCTCAGATGAAAACCTTTGACACCACCTTCTCCCATTTCAAGAATTTTCGGGTAGGAGGTCTCTGGGCTGGCTCCGCTTCTGGGTTCACTCCTCAAAGCTCCAGTCTCATTGCCAAGTCTCCTGCAGGTGTGGTCCCTGGGTCAGCAACATCAGCATCCCCTGGGGCTTGTTAGAAATGCAAATCCAAGCAGACCAGCTCAGTTGAAACTCCGGGGAGGGGCAAGACCCCCAGGTGGTCCAAGACTGGCTCATTGTGAGAATGGCTTCTCTCTCTGTCTGCAGCAGGTAGGGATTGGATATGAGCGAGAGATGGAGGAAGAGCTAAGAGGCTCCATGGGCTGCTGGCATTCAGAGCTCTGTCTACGTAGGGTCAAGACCTGTTGCATGTGCGTGTGTGTGTGTGTGTGTGTGTGTGATCATGTGAGCTGGTGTTCATTAGCCCCGTCTGTTCTCCCAGAAGTCTCCCACCCCCTGTACTCAGCTATCTCAGAGACCCAGGTTAGCCCACGGGCCTCAGGTCTGCTCTCTCAGTTTGTAGCTCCCCAAACCCTCTTTGGGTTGTCTGAGCTCAGTGTCTGGGATGCTGGGGACGTAGAATGGGTGGACACCCTCTCACCTTTTATTCCCACTGGGCAGGGTTGTGCGTGACCGCAACTGCCTAAATCCCGAAAGCACCATTTGGGAAAAGGCCAGAGAGGAGAAATGTGTGGGGGCTTGAGTTCACGCGCCTGTATGCAGGAATAAGCACCAGCAGCCGAGCATCCTCTTGGGCTGTGGCTGGCTGGCTGGGGCCCGTGTGGGGGCCTAGGAAACACATGCTGTCTCTCTTCTCTCCACCTCCTGGCTGTGTCCCAGCTGCCGGAGGTGCTTGGCAGTGGCTGTGAGATTCCAGAATCTCTGCAGGCCCTAACGGAGGAAGAGGCTGGCAGGTGGAGACAGATCCAAGAAGAGCTGGGCACCATGAAGCTCTCTCTGCAGCTGCGGGGGGAAGACGGCAGCGTCTGGAACTATACGCCCCCAGCTGACAGAAGTGGGAAAAAGCTCTTTTCTCTGCTGCCCCACTTGGCTGACATGTCAACCTACATGTTCAAAGGCATCATCAACTTTGCTAAAGTCATCTCCTACTTCAGGTAGGACATGAGGCTGGGGGAATGGGTTGTGGAGAAGAACAAAAAATGACCAAGTGGCTCAAGGGCCTGGGGTAGAGCCCCCTGAGTTTGGGAGGCATGGGCGCAAAAGATCCTGCTTTAACTCTGCCCCTAGGACACCAGTGCTGCTGGAGAATATAGAGGCCTGGCTCCAGGTCCCGTTAGCTTTGTGCCCGTAGGCCTGCCATGTAATGCAGCTGCATCTCCGCCTCCCCAGTAATGCCTTCTTCCAGGGCTGGTGTATAACGTGAGAAAATGTCTGAGGAGCACACGAGCGCATGGCCCGTGGAGGACTTCAGATAGTAACCCCTTTCCCTAGCGTTTCCTTCCCTTGTAAGGGCAGGAATCTCACGTCAGCCGTTCTAGAGCAAAGAATGAGTTGGTAGGAAGTCCAGAGAGTGAAGAATGTGGGTAGAGAGCGAGGGACAGGTGCGGGGCTCCAGCAGGCTGCTTCCAAGAGAAGGTTGAGAAGGCTCTGGGGGGTGGTGGGTGGTCCTGAGGGCCAAACGGCTGGGTCTCCCTGGGGCCAGGTGTGGAGCGCACAAGCGTGGGACTGCTGGGTCAGCAGGAGGCCTGGGAAGCTCCTATCCATGAGATGCAGTCTGCTAGGGCTGGGGTGGTGCTGTGTGTCAGCCCAAGGGTTGGCCACCTTGACTTCCTCAGCCTGATCACACAGGGCTGAGTCAACATGCAAGGACTCCCTGATTTCATCGGCAGGTTGTGTGTGTTCCAGGAGCCCACAGGTCCCCTTGTGGCCCTGTGGGTGACAGGAAAGGCTGGTTTATTGGGGTGAGGGTGGCAACAGGCTGGAGTGGGTTCAGGTTGCAGCAGCTTCGATCAAGGCAGCAAGGGCAGAAGGCTACTTAGCAATTTGAGCATTGGCAGATCCCTGTGGATACATGTTGATCCACAGGGTAATGCCAGGGGAAGAGGTCGTTTGTTGCTTCTCCAATATTTTTTTAAATGTGTTTATTTGAGAGGCTGGAACACACACACACACACACACACGGAGGAGGAGGGGGAGAGAGGAAGAGATGGAGAGCTCCTATCCACTGGTTTATACTCAGTATTTCCACAAGTGCTGGAACTCAGCTGGGCTGAAGCTAGGAGCCAGGATTTCAGTGTAGATCTCTCAAGTGGGTAGCAGGAACCCAGCTACCTGAGCCATCTCTGCTGCTTCCCATGGTCTGCGTTAGCAGGAAGCTGGAGTCAGGAGCTGGAGCCAGGCATCTGACAACCCAGGTACTCAGATTTGTGATGGGGAAGCTTCAGCGGGCATCTTGACAGGTGTCTTAGGGTAAAGGCTTGCCTGGTGCCCATCAGTTTCGAGCACACAGACCCTAGGCTTCACTGTCACCTTCCTTCTACAGATAGAAACCGAGCTTTACCAAGGTTAAGAAACTTGAACAAGGTCCCAGCTAATCAGTGGTAGATGGCAGATTTGAAAATCACAGAATGCAAACTTCAGAGTCAGCTCCCTACCAGGTCCTGATCCATACACTGGGAAGACACAGAAGAATAAGGTCAACACCCTGGCTTTTATAGCTCAGTTTTATGGACCTAAAACAAGGTTGGGTGTGAGGAGCACAGGGCATGAAGTTCTCAGGAGACCATAACCGGGGTGGGGCTTTCCTGAGAGGTGGCGCTGCAGGCCGTCCCTCCCAGGCTCCCAGAGACTCCTGCGTGTCAGGAATGATGGCTTCAGGGGTGGACGGATAGGAAGGCTGACCATGGAGGCTTATTATGCAGCATCATGGCTAGGCACTGGGAGTGGGGCTCAACACCTCCAGGCTGCAGAAATAGGAGCATGCACCTGTTAAATCCAACAGAGACAGCAGGAAGCATGGGCGGCAAGCCACATGGAGCTCCTGCCAAGGGAGTGGCACCTGCGGGAGGACTCTGTGCTTGGAAAGATTCATGGCAGGACCAAAGACATAGCTTGGCCTGAAGAACTAGCAGGGTGTTTACTGCAGTGAGGCGGCCAGAGCCATCATTCCAAGGGTGGTGGGAAGTGAGGTAGAACAGGTGAGGCCAGCGCTGAGCTGTCAGGGGTAGGTCAGTGGCTGGGTGGGTATTTGGAGCAGATGGGCCAGGCTGCCTGGAACTTGGATGCCAGACTGAGTGAGTGAGCAGTGAAGGTCGCAGGAGAGGACTGTGAGGGAGAGAGATGGGAGGCAACCAGGAAGCATCTGCAGCTGCATCAATCCCCAGGGACTGGCGCCCATCCTACCTCACCTCCCTGACCCCGCCCCCAATGCATATTCTGTGTTGTGGGGATGAGCCCTGGAGCCATCCTCTGGGCAGCCTCCCTGGGAGCTGTCATCCCCTCCCCCTCCCTGCTGCCAGGGACTTGCCCATCGAGGACCAGATCTCCTTGCTCAAGGGAGCCACCCTCGAGCTGTGCCTCCTGAGATTCAACACCGTGTTCAACGCAGAGACTGGCACTTGGGAGTGTGGTCGGCTGTCCTACTGCGTGGAAGACCCTGAAGGTGCCTGCAGGATGCCTGCCTGCCCTGGCTGGGGGAGGGAAAGCCAACAGCTGGGGCAGGAAGGGCCCCCTGCCAGGGTCTTTGGGGTCTGGGACCAAGGGCAGGAAGACCGGGCGATGGGCCTTGGTGAGGGAAGGCTGGGTGTTGGCTCTGCATCCTGAAAAGCTGCCCCTCCTTCCTGCATCCATACTCAGGAGGCTTCCAGCAACTTCTTGTGGATCCCTTGCTGAAATTCCACTACATGCTGAAGAAGCTGCAGCTGCACAAGGAGGAGTACGTGCTGATGCAGGCCATCTCCCTTTTCTCCCCAGGTGATGGCCTCCCCGGGCTGCTGGCACCCTCAGCTTGATCTGCCCTCCTCAAGAAAGGTGCCAGCCGCCAGCCCTTGCTCCACACTCCCTGCACAGCCAGCATGGGAACTCTGGCCGGTTTCTCCCTGGGCCGGGGAAGGGGGGTTGAGGCAAGGCCCAAGTCCTCCCTCCCTTCCCGCCTGGTGACTCCTGCTCTGGCACCTGGTTAGCTGGCGGCTCCTGCTCTGGGCTCCACTGCCTGGCTGGCCCCACACTGCTTTCCCCTCCCCGCCAGACCGCCCAGGTGTGGTGCAGCGTGAAGTGGTGGACCAGCTTCAGGAGCGATTCGCCATCACCCTGAAAGCCTACATCGAGTGCAGTCGGCCGCAGCCCACCCACCGGTGAGCACAAGCAGAGAGGGAGGAAGGGTGTGGGGTGGGTATGGAGGGGCTTCTCCCTGGGGCTCTGTCTGCCTAGGGCTCTCTGGGAGAGCAGTCTGGAGACTGTGACCTCCCCTGAGGCTTTCTGCCCACTCAGCCCCAGTGCCAGCCAAGTCCTGGGGAAAACTAGGGCGGGCCAGGGGCTGTGTCTGATTGCTAGGATGTTTCTCTGCGCGGCGCCTTCCCTACTAGTGTGGTCATCAAGAGGTGGAAAGAGTCAGATATTCTTTGGGGTCTTTTGGCAGAGTCTTCTAGCAATAGCTGGAACCCCACTATGATAGGAATGGTCACACTAATACTGCTAATCATAAATAAATCGATCATAGTCAATCGATCAGAAGCATTTTGCATGGACCACATCATCTTTAATCCTCCAAACACTGCCAGGAGGTGGACACCACCACCATCCTGCAAGGGGGCGAGGCGCAAGCTGCTGCCCAAGGCTCTGCAGGTGGTAGAGCTGCCAAAGCAAGTGCCAAGTACAACTCTCCATGACTGCTGACCAGGCAGGAAGCGCACCTGCACAGCGGGTGGGAAACTCCTCAGTGTGTGATCTCAACTCCCAGACACTTCACACCATCAGTGGTCCTAAGTGCTTAGTCTGGGGCCTACCTAGTGCCTAGTCTGTTGTCAATAGACCCAAGAATGAGCTTGGCCTGCTTTGAGCCCAAGGCCATAAGGATTGACACCAAGGTCAGCACGGGGTGAACTTACCACTGAAACCCTTACCTGGCCTGCAGCAGCTTTTGTGTTGGCCCAGTGTCCTGGGCTGCTGGAGCGGCAGTGTTTGTAATTGCTCAGGCCTCCCCAGGGTGGAGCCCCTAGGCTGGAGATGTCTTCTTTTTCATCTTGGGGGAGCTGACAGGTGTGGTGTGTCTTCCACGCTAGGTTCAGAGCTGGAGCCAGGCAGGGATTTTAGCCTGCAGTGCTCGACCTGCACGTCTGCTCTGCTTGGACCTGGCCCCTGGATTTTAACCAAGGCAGTGAGCTGCTGCCTGCCCCACTGCTCACCACACAACTACCTCTGCATTGTTTGTGCCTCAGTGTCTGGATTTTCCCACTGAGGTCCCTTTGTGCCAGGATTCCAGCCCTGCGGTGGGGTGGGAGTAGGGAGAGTATGGCTGCCACTTGAACCCCCATGCTGAAAGGGAAGCTTAAGGTGTTCAGTCAAGCCGTGTCTCTTGGCCAGCCTCAAGGCGGTCCCCGGGTGGTGGGCTGGGAGAGGGTGGCTGCATCCTTGACCTGTGCCCCGGCCGGCCCACAGCTTCCTGTTCCTGAAGATCATGGCTGTCCTCACTGAGCTTCGTACTATCAACGCCCAGCACACACAGCGGCTGCTGCGGATCCAGGACACACACCCCTTCGCCACCCCCCTCATGCGGGAGCTGTTCAGCACCACAGATGACTGAGCGGCTGCTTTTGGGCTAGGCCTCAACAGGGCAGCCAGGCCCACAGCCCTCCGAGCCCCCATGTGGACACCACCATTGGTCAACGATGCCTTGTGAGCCTGCCTCTCCCAGAGACCTGCTGCTGTGGCCACAGGGGACTAGCATTTCTCAGGAAAGGACATGCACCCCCTCTAAGCCCTGAGTACAGTTCAGTCCATGGAGAGTGCACTGGCTACCCTCTCCCTAGAAACGGTCCTGTGGTCTGGACTAGATCCCCAAATCCCAGGAAATCCCAAATCCACTCATGTGCTGTGGTGGGAGGCGAGAAGGGGTGCCCAGGGCTGGGCAATCTGAAGATCTGCACCCACACCCAAGTTCATTAGCTCCAGTCTTTTCATTGCTACCTCAAACCCTTTGGGCTCCCATTTTCCCACCCATTCCCAACCCCCAGCCCCCTGTCCCGACCTGCTCAGGGGTTCCAAGGCTGTGTGGGTCTCCTAGCGAGAGGCCAGGAGGCCTGCCACAAATGTCAGAAGCTTGCCGTGACTTTATTCTGGGCACATTCTTTTGTGTTTCCACGTTTATTCAAACACCTTATTAAGCAGTAAATTATGAGGAGCTTAAAAAATTTCATGGAAAATGTTATAAAAAATCACTAACCTTCAATTTCAAGTTTTTTTGTGCATGCTAAAGTAAACTTACCTTGTAATTCCATTTTCCATGACCTTTTTGAAGAACGCTTGTTATGCAACCTGCTATGGGGCATCTGACATTGGCCCACATGTTTCCTGGCCTCAGAGAGTTTATTGTTAAGAAAACACAGCAGAAACCCAAATAATTTGGATCAAAAGGAGAAGTGACAAGTGACAAAAGAAGCATGAGAAATTTCTTTGGATGCTGAGCTGTACTGGGGTTCTGTGGTTATCTGGAATCCAAGTGAGGGTTCCCTAAGGCACTTGTGTATGTGAGAGGAAGGACAGGCACGGTGGTTGTGGGTAAATACATGTGACTTGGTGAGAGCAGGTCTGTTCCCCATGTGACTGGAGTCCGTGTTTGCCTCTGAGCCCAGAATGCTGGACTGCTCTGGTCTGAGACTATGGTAATAGTCAGTTAATAAATGTGTTGGAGCAGAACCATTTGCACACATCTAATATTCCTGTGCGTCCTCAAAGCTAGAGTATGAAAGTACCTGCTTTGTTTATAGCCATCTTTGAATAAAATGCTTTTCAAAGTTTGAGGGGCTGGGGCCAGCGCCATGGCTCACTTGGTTAATCCTCCACCTGCGGCGCCAGCATCCCATATGGGCACCAGGTTCTAGTCCCAGTTGCTCCTCTTCCAGTCCAGCTCTCTGCTGTGGCCTGGGAGTGCAGTGGAGGATGGCCCAAGTGCTTGGGCCCCTGCACCTGCATGAGAGACCAGGAAGAAGAACCTGGCTCCTGGCTTCGGATCAGCTCAGCATTGGCCGTAGTGGCCATTTGGGAAATGAACCAACAGAAGGAAGACCTCTCTCTCTCTCTCTATGACTCTACCTGTCAAATAAAAAAAAAAAAAAAGTTTGAGGGGCCAGTGTTGTGGCACAAAGCTAAGCAGATGCATGAGACACTGGCATCCCCTATGAGTGCCACCGATTCAAGTACTGGCTGTTCCCTAATAGCTGGGAAAGCAGTGGAAGATGGAACAAATGCCTAGGCCCCTGACACCCATATGCCCCTGATACCCGCTGGGCCCTTGACACCCACGTGGGAGACCTGAATGGAGTTCCAGTCTCCTGGCTTCCATCTGGCCCAGCCCAGCCCTGGTTGTGGCCATTTGGGGAGTGAACCAGCAGATGGAAGATCTCTCTTGTCTTTCCCTCTCTTTCTGTAACTCTGCCTTTCAAAGAAGGAAGAAAAAGAAAAAAAGAAAGAGGAGAGAAAGAGATGAAAGGGAGAAAGAAATATCTTTGATTTTTAAAAAAAGTTTATTTGAAAGGCAGAGGGGGAAGAGATCTTTCATTCTTGGGTTTGTTTTCCAAAAGCCGACAGGAGCCAGGGTTAGGCCATGCTGCAGCCAGAAGCTCAGGGCTCCTCTCCATCCAGGTCTCTTGTGTGGATGGGAGGAACCCAAGTACTTGAGCTATCTGCTATCTCACATAGCAGGAAGCTGGATCAGAAGGTGGAGGTGAGACTGGATCCCAGGCATTTCCAAATGGAATGTGGGTATCCCAAGGGGCCGGTTCCAAGCAGATGGCTTAACCCATTGCACCACAATGGCTGCCCCTAAATAAATTTTTTTCTTGTATTTTCACAAATAACACTTTAACCAATTCTACATTATGTACTCCACACCTATAACTTCAGCTCAGCAAATATGTTCTTGGCTAGAGATGTTAAAATTGTTTGGGTTTCTTTTCTGGGGAAGAAAAGAATTGTGGGAGTAAGGAAATAGTATATATTACATAAACACACACATTATCTATTTATGCTCTACCTACAGAGAACTTCAAAATATTCACGGAAAAATGGAATTAAAAGTTTTTTCCTTTGGTGCAAAAGATCTTTGAAACCATGCAGTGTTTTCATTATAGGAAATTTCCATTAACTTTTTATAGCTCCTTTGTATATCACTACTTATTGCCCTTTACACATCTTAAGACTCTTGCTCTAAGAATGTAGTGCTTGGGCCCCTGCACCCACTGGGAGACCCACATGAAGCCCCTGGCTCCTGGTGACAGCCTGGCCCAGCCCAGGCCATTGCAGCCATTTGGGGAGTGAACTAGAGGATGGAAGATCTCTCTCTGTGTCTCTCCCTCTGTGTAACTCTTTCAAATAAATTTTTTTTAAAAATGCAAAATTGGATCATTTAACTTGGTTTGCTCATGAAATGATTGTTTTACATAAAAATTCAAGGTCTAAGTACTATAATTAAAAATGTAGTAGTTGGGGCAGGCAGCATGACTCACTTGGCTAATCCTCCACCTGCAGTGCCGGCACCCTGGGTTCTAGTCCCCGCTGGGGCACCGGTTCTGTCCCCGTTGCTCCTCTTCCAGTCCAGCTCTCTGCTGTGGCCCGGGAGGGCAGTGAAGGATGGCCCAAGTGCTTCGGCCCTGCACCCGCATGGGAGACCAGGAGGAAGCACCTGGCTCCTCGCTTCGGATCAGCGCAACGCGCTGGCCGGAACGCGCCGGCCGCAACACGCCGGCCGTAGTGGCCACTTGGGGGGTGAACCAACGGAAAAAGGAAGACCTTTCTCTCTCTCTCTCTCTCTCTCACTGTCAAAAAAAAATGTAGTTGAATAAATTTTAAATGTTTAATAATCAGTTGCAAATGAAACTGCAAGGTAACTGAATTTTAGAAACAAATGATTAGTTGCTTAGCTTTTACTATTTTACAACCAGACCAAACTTTGAAAACCTAAGACACCATCAATAGAAATTAAAAGTCAGCACAATCCCTGACATATTTCTAGACTTACTAGCCTTTTCTGCAGCAAAGAGAGAAAGCACTCATTTTTAGAAAAGCAATTGAGGGAAAGAGTTCCTCTTTCTAAATTATACAGCTCTTGCTCCCAGAAGTTTTGCCTAATTATAGATTCAATTAGAAGTATAAATGTGTAATTTAGAAATATAAATTTCATTTAGCTGTGTTCATATGCATACCCCCTTGCTGATTAAAACAATTTCAGTGTGCTATTTGTTCAAGAGCCTGAAATTGTTGTCAGAGGTGCCTAGGGAAAGGTGAGGGTAGGTTAGATTAAGATGGGTTTGTGAGGTAAACTCCCACCTCCTGGTATTGATTTAAAACACTCCGCACATTGAATTGATATTCACATGTGATTTATACAGACTATAACTACTAAATGTAGTCCAAGATTAATTAAGATTCTAGGTTAGATGCACCAAAGAGCTACAACAGATATTTCTTTTCAGCAGCTTTGTGGATCTCAACTTATGGGACTAGGAGCCAGACTCAACTTTCCTATTATCAAACATCTGGCTTTTCATTACTCCCTTTCCTGAATTTTTTAAGATTTATTTAATTTTGAAAGAGTTTGAGGGAGGAGGGGGAGGGAGAGGAGGGAGAAAAGAGGCGAGAGGAGAGGAAGAGAAGAGAGGAAAGAGGAGAGAGAGACAATGAGTCTTCCATTGGTTTACTCTGCAGATGGCTGCACTGGCCAGCAATGGGCCAGGGGTTGAAGCAAGGAGGCAGGAGCTCCTGGGTCTCCCATGTGAGTGGCAGGGGCCCAGGTACTTGGGCCATTTTTGCTGCTTTTCCCAGACAGAGAGCTGGATCCAAAGTAGAGCAGCTGGGACACAAACCGGTATCTGTAAGGGATGCTGGCATTGCAGGCAGTGGCTTTACTTGCTAGGCTACAACACTGGCCACTGTTCTTTTTCAAGATCCTGGTTCGGTTAGTTTCCAAAGCTCAGGACAAAGCTCAAAGTAAGCTACTGCACACTTTGTTTCATTTGTCAGTCATGTCGCAGCCTACTTGACCTGGACTTTGGTCAAAGTCATGACACAACAAGAAATGAGAGACGGCCCAGAGTGGCCTCTCATTTCTGGAGAAAGAGAATGTGAAGAAGCACACCCATCTAACTTAACCTGAAAACTTGAGAGCCTCATCTTGCCATTTGCATGGAAGTTTGTATTTCCCTGGTAACTTGCCATTTGTATATCCTCCCCTCAATCTGATAGGTATGTGAATTATTTACATGGAAAATGGGTAACCATCCTATTACTTGTGTTCTTTTCCTTTTACACAAGGGAGCTGCAACTGATCAACCTCTCTGTTCCTACCTTTCTAGAACACCTTCTAAAATAGCACCTACCATTTCTGCTCTCCTGCAAGAGGATCTCAACACGCTGTTTGGTCAGTGCTTTTCACAAGGACTTAGAAACTGAAAAAGCAGTCTTTCAGGATTGCAAGTAAAAAGGCTATTTGGCAGGATACTTAACATACTGTTTAACTCAATCCCAACTTAGAGCTAAGGCAGGACCAAAACAAGGTAGCCATCTTCACTGGTAAATTAATTAGTCAATCCCATCACCACAGCGATAAATAAAGAGGACCAGACTTTATCGAATATAAATTTGTTTTTATTGAAGCAGCAGTCACATGACCTTATATCTAGCCTTTAGATAGGCTGGACAGAGTGAACCAGCCCTAAAAAAATGATGTTTCTTTTTGCACTAAGAGACATAACATGTTTACATACATCATCCAGTACTGGAAATGAGCAGACTCAAAACACAACATGTGTTGGTTACCTGGGAGGTACAGTCCCACTGTTTGTGGTGTTCATATAGTTTACAGAGACCCCCAAAGACCATTGCTAATAGGATGAAAGTTAAAAGAAAATACAGCGACACAGAACCATGAACACAGTAATCAAAGACAGCAGCTTATACACGTTTTTACAATTGTCCGTTTCAGGGATGTTTTCTTTCTTTCCAAAGCAGTGTCTGTAAAGCTTCCTCTACATCAAATCCAAAGGTTTCCGAGATGGAAGCTGCACCTCTTGTGGCTATACAATGGAGTAAGATCATCTGAAAGAACTAGAAGTGGTGTTCCTATCTTGATTTTTGTAACAAAGATTCATGTTTCCCTAATTAGAGGAACAGAGATGGTGACGTGATTACATATTGCAGTGGTAAAATAGGTAGAGTGAAGAAAGAGGGTTGCGTACTGAAATAAAGACCACACACTTGTGAATTTTAATTTCATTTCCAGGCTAACCTACTTTTTATTTAATGCAAATTACAGTACCAGTTAACTATTTCCAAACCAAGTCACATAGAACAAAATGTATTTACAAGGGAATGGGGAAGGGGAAAATAAACATTGAGCATACTTTTCACAAAAAAGTTTATATTTAAAATGAAAAAAAAATTCAGTCACAGAGGCATTCAAGTAGTAATAATGTTATACAGGTTTTGCTTTTCCTTTATATCAAGACAGATTTGCACAAGTGTTTGCAATAGTTTGTATACAACCCACAGTCCTTTATATATATATATATATATATAATAAATTTTGTTTTTTTAATTTGTTAAGATGGAAGTGGTCACGCTAATTGGTATGTGTACAGGCCCAAGTGATCCATCGGCAACACATTTATAAATGCAAATTTTACAGGCAAGCACATTTTCATATATCTATCTGTATCTGCCTGTAGACAGATATAAGAAAAAAAAACTTAAAAATTAACACAAGGAAGTCTACTTTGTCAAGCTAACCCCTTATGTTCTGGTTGTCATTTTGCTTTTATTGTGGAAGTGCAAAACGGAGCAACAAACTTGAATAAAATGGCATAACCCTTGTGAGAATAATCCAGACCCCAGGGATTACTTTCAAAGGTAGACCTCAGTCTGGGACTCTACTGTGCTTCTAGTTGTCTCTTATTTTCAGTGGCTCAGGTATCTACCAGAGAAGACAGATTCTGTCAAAAAAGCAAGCTTCACTTTTCTATTCGGGGAAAAGAGTATTCAGCTCTGTGATTAGATGATCACAACATGAATGATAGGAACTAAGATACAATTTTGGTTAAAACAAAGAAAAAAACCCCCAAACTTCTGGGGATCTGGCGTTGGCCAAACTTCCTTTGGAAGATTCCAAAGTTATATCCTTTAAAAAGGAAAGAGGGGGAAAATAAGGGAAATGCCAGTGTCTTTATATCCACAGGGATAGAGAATATAACAGACCTCTTAGAAACCTTTGCACTGGTAAAGACAAGGTGACTGGCTAGGCATTCTCTGTTAAGATACAAATCAAAAATCTGTGTCTAAAAATTAAGAGGACTTTCAGAAATGACACAACATATCACTGGAAAGAAGGTGCAGTCTTCTGCCTTGCTGGAATGAACACATGGTGTTTCAAAAATAGCAACCTTTGGTTTGGTAAAGTTCTTTTTTTTCTTCTATTCAAGACATATGGAGTATTTGGGAGGTAAAACAAATACTTTTTTTCCCCAAAAAGGCCTTCATGTTGGGCAAACAGTAGGAATTAAACTGATTTTTAAAAAAGAAATTAAAATGACATCTCATTGGACAGGGGTAGAGATGCTCAGAGAGAGGGAATGGGCTAGCAGTTCCCTGTTGAAACAACAGTCCTCTATCACCGTGGCAGCACTGCCAGCAGTCACTACTAGCCATCGCACTGTAGCACTTTAGACCACTGATGGAGCAAAATTCGATACTATGTAAGAAACCTTCATTTTTTAAAACAAATTTTCTTGCTCTCTCATTAGGGAGGGAAGTAGATAAAGAGAAGAGAGAGAGCATAGGGGGCTCTTAGAATCTGCCCGTAAGACCCATGATTAGGGTTTGTGGAAGAGATGAGCAAAATCCAATCCACTGGATATCCTCCAGCTCTAGGGCTCCCTGCACTACACTGAGTCCCTGAATGGACTAAGTATGAAATGAAACCGGTCACTGCTAAGGAGGAAACAGACATTTCAGAACCAAAACAAATGCAGGGTTTAAATGGGATCACAAACACGATTTCCTCTTCCTACTCCTGAGCTTGGTATCTCACTTGAAACTTAACCGTGGAAGGGGCAAAGATATTGTTATGAATGAGTTATTATTTTTCAAAGGGAAATGGATGGGCAGGGAGACATGAATAAAGAAAATTAATTAAAATTTTAAAAATGAAAAACAGAAACAAAAAAACACACGGAAGCGAAGGCACTCCAAACTATATAGATACACTATACATTGCTAGAGTTATTGTTACAATAATACAGGCCAGTACCTACTGTACAGAGTTAAAACTATATGGCTTTAAAAAGCTCGTCTACATTTTGTCTGATTATTAAACAGAATCACTGCCCTGAACAGTAACTTTTTGCTCATTAATAACAGTTCCTGGGTCCACATATTTACATACAAAACAATAAAACTTAAAATTTAAAAACATTGAAAGAAAATATAATGTACAAGCTTGAATTTGGTGAGGAGCTTTTTATTATTATTATTTACAAAAAGATATTCAGAGACCTGGTTCTCACTTGTGTAAAAGAGTTCTATGATCCTGCCATGATCCTTGAGAAAGAAAAATCACGCACCTCAGCCCTCACATGCGCACACACACATGCACTCACACAGAGAAAAGCATCTGACTTCTCTCTCTTCAACTCATCCCATTTCTTGGGCGTGGGGGGTAGGGGTGGGGAGTGTTTCCTAAAACAAGCACTAATTTTTATGGACTCTAGCAGGTACACCAAAGTCCAGAGTAGTGTCTGTATCCAAATATTTTTGGCTGGGCAGTTTGGTCTGAAAACAGATCCTTTTCTGTCACAGTCCTGCCTGTTCAGATTTTTTATAGATTCTTTTTGGAAATGATCTATCAAAGACATCTCCTTTAAGGAATTCTGCTGTTGAATGTTCTGAATTCAGGCTTATTTCAAATCTTAATTAGCTCGCAGAAGCACTAAGAAGGAAAATTCGATTTGTTTCATTTGGATTGACTGAGTGTGTTTTCCTTTCTCATGAACTCCGATATAATCAGAAGTTTAAGAAACCTCTTTTCTGGCCTAACAGCTTAGCTAAACAGTGAGTGAAAACTAAGACGGCTCGCACTCATCGTCCTGGGTACTGGTTCATGTCAGCAGGCAGTATGACTCTGCTGGAGAGTCACACACACGGTTCAGAAGCAGGACAGGGTGTGAGGGCCCGCATGAGGGCTGCCAAGAGACTCCACTTCCAAACCACCTGGAGGGTGAGACCCCTAACACAACCAAAGGTGGCAATGAGGAGGGTGAAGGGAAGTTACACAAAACCTAGGGCTGGGCTCTGCAGCCCTTATTGGCTACCCTTGGAAAGTGTGTGGGGGAGAAGCAGGTAGGAGGGAAAGGCGGCCATTACTCAAGTGATCTTTAAATGTAAAATACAACTGATTGTGCCTTAAAGATTCATAGGTCAAGTAATGGCCCATAAGCACCAAGGTGACTAAGGTTCATTTTAGAGTATATAAGGCCCACATAGATGTCAACCTTAAAAGTATAAAACAAACTAGTTGTGAAAATCTATTTCCTCACTGCAAACATAACCCTTCAATCCTCCTTGCTTTCCAAGGAATATTGCTTTTTCTTCAAAAACAGAGACTGATTCTTACATTATTAACTGATACACAAAGAAAACAAACAAAAACTCTTAACTGAGTGTGGGGGAGAAACATTCTTCTCATGCTTCAACCAGTCAGTTTTGATACTGTAGACAAAAAAAAAAAAAAAAAAAAAGAGGCAGTATTCAATATATGTATATATAACATATATACACACATTTATATAATCAGCTTTCATATAAAGTCAGCAGGTACAGGTGACTGCTTATCATTGTGTAGTTTTTAATACCCCTATCATCTAAAATCATAATGGCCTATCTGACATGCATCAATAAATAAATTTAAAAAGCATGAGGTTAAAAAAAGCTGAAAATTAAATACGGATTCTAGATTTGGATTTAAAATTAGAGCTATGTATGTAGAATGTGGCAATTTCTGCAAGCTCAATTTTCAATTACAAAATATGAAAAATAAACCAGTAGATTGTTGCAGTTCACATTATTTAACTCTAATGTCCTCTCAAGTGTATCTTTCCAAGGGAAGCAACTTCAGAAAAACAGTCCAAATCCATTCACAGTGGTGAGATCTGCCCCTGGTCTCCTTTCTCTAGGCTTAACAGTCTTTGACCTCTGCAGCCTCAGCGGCCTACTCAACACCTTTCTCACTCTCCTCCTAGATCACTAGTTTAAAACTACCAAGATTTGGAGAGAAGCTTTGGTCAGGCAAACAAAGATCCAGCAGCTGAGCAGGCACATCAGACATCTGCTTGCTGCTCCTCCTACACCGGCTTTCCACCACTAGCACTGATTAAGAACAACACAAAACCTAGGTCAATCAGTCAAGAATCTTCCCCTTGGAGTTTCAAATTTTATTGACTTCCCTCGGATATAAATGATACACATTTCCTTTTTTGTCTGCCACACCTGCCACCAACATGCCAAAGGCCAAGTTTTCAAATACCCGAGGATATGGATTAATTTTACAAGTGACATTTAAGTCCCCATTGATTTATACCTGCTAAGCTCCCAACCAATTTCAAGCTGTGTACTATACCAATGTCTTACGCTAGACTTTAAAAGAAAACTTTCAGCACAGAACAAGGTTTTCTTCTTTTTGTGGAAGGGGCATGAGGCAGGAGTCCTGTTTTTAAAGTATACAACAGCAGACTTTTGATTAAAAAAAAGAAAAAAAGATTGTCGTGGGAGAGAGATTGTGTTCTAGTGCTCCGCTTTCCCCTCCCCACAACCCCTCCCACCCCCTGGATCTCCCTCAAAGTGAGAATACAATGAAACTGTTGTATTTATAGATATTTTACAAGGTTAAATAAGAACAACAACAATAATAAAAAAAAAATCGAACACTAAAATGAACAGGTTTTTTTCTCTTTTTAATTTTCTTTCCAAACGTGACCAGTGTTGCTGAGTGACACTCAAGTAACTGGTGGTTCTTCCTGTGCAGCTGGCTGCTTGCGACTGTTCAGGTGGAGTTGGAAGCTGATGCAGAAGCGGCATTATTGGTCTGTCCACGGTCTCCAGCATTAGCATCTGTAAATGCAAAGTCCCAAGAGAACATAAGCAATGTTATAACAACCCCAAAAGAACAAGTACTGTGAGTTACGTTGACTTCCTAGTGGTTATCTTGGATATTGTTTTAAATATAGCCAACACTATAAAACCTGAATTTGTTTCTGTTTGGGGCTAAGTTCATGTTTTGGCATGGCCCTGGTACAGAGAAGACAGTCTCTGAATAAGTTACAGACTTAGATAATTTCTATCCAAGCTTCTGCCATAGCTGGGATCACTCAGTTGGAGTCTGGCTCACTTGAACAGAGAGAAATGGATAGTGGGAAAACTTGCTAACAATTCTGAACTGATGACAATATGCCATCTGCTTAGGTGGGTGAATGGGTAAAGGCAATGAAAATAATATAGGTCTGGCCGGCGCCACGGCTCAGTAGGCTAATCCTCTACCTAGCGGCGCCGGCACACCGGGTTCTAGTCCCGGTTGGGGCGCCGGATTCTGTCCCGGTTGCCCCTCTTCCAGGCCAGCTCTCTGCTGTGGCCAGGGAGTGCAGTGGAGGATGGCCCAAGTGCTTGGGCCCTGCACCCCATGGGAGACCAGGAGAAGCACCTGGCTTCTGCCTTTGCATCAGCGCGGTGCGCCGGCTGCAGCGTGCCAGCCGTGGCGGCCATTGGAGGGTGAACCAATGGCAAAAGGAAGACCTTTTTCCCTGTCTCTCTCTCTCACTGTCCACTCTGCCTGTCAAAAAAAAAAAAAAAAAAAAATAATAATACAGGTCAAGGCTGAAGTGCAGAAACACTGTATGTAAATCAATCTCAGTTGATTGTTTTCTAAGTGCATTCACAGATATGGAAAATATACAACCAGTTTTAAAAAAAAGTCATTGTAGCACCTACTTACTTATTCAATAAAGCATCTTACGGTCAAATATTTTGGCAATAAGAATTTACTTTGCCCAATCCTTTGAAAATATGGCAACTTCACATGTGACCATTGTTTCCTTCTCCATTTTAAAGATGTATTATTATTTCACAGCATCCTTTAAGTGAGCATCTAATAGTGTCCAGAGTGGCCCAGCATTTTGGTAGGCAGCATACTGCCATTTTCAGTGGCTAATCAAGCTGCACCTGCATCTCTGCCATCACATACAATGACTAGGAGTTTCTGATGCCTTTCATGCCTATGAATTCAAGTGTAAGCCCTGAGCAAGAGAGGTGGCTTGAACAGGATGGGCAACTTCCAAGAACCACTTCTTTAGGGGCCATAATATCTTTGGCCATCAAAGCTGGTGACACCAAAAGGAAATCCAGAAGTTTCTGCCTTTCTAGGACTGAAGGGATTTGTAAATCTCTCACATCCTGTGATGACTAGAGTAACCAAAATCATGGCTAAATTCAATATTTGGTACTGGAAACACAACTGACTCCAAGGACACATAGGCATTCTTAACTAAAGGATGAGCTGTTAAACATTTCTTTATCCACTCTAAAAATACTATTCTTCCTTTCTAAGTTTCTGATTTTCCTGCCTCCAAAACAATCTGCTCTTACATGCTTTTGATCCAGCCTTTGAGGAAAGAAATGTAAACACCTTTTAATTTGAATTATGTTTTCTTTTTTTCTAAAACTTTTAATTTCAAAACAGCTTTAAATTTACAAAACAAAACTAGTCTCTAGTAATCATCATTCTGTGTTTGGAGTCAGTTTTTTTAAGCTCTTACATACAAGGGAGAACAAGTGGTATTTGTCTTTCTGTGTCTGACTTATTTCACTTAACATTATGTCCTCTAGTTCCACTCATTCTGATGCAAGTGACAAGATTTCATTCTTTTTTATGGCTGAATAGTATTCCTATATATATTCCACACATTTTTTAATCCATCGATCTGATGATGGAGATCCTGGTTGATTTTCTATCTTGGTTATCATGAACAGTGGTGCAATAAACAAGGTAGAGTCTGATAAGACAATTTCATGTCTTTTGGATATATATACTCAGTAGTGGAACTACTAGATAATATGGCTATTCTATTTCTAGTTGTTTTTTTTTTTTTTTAAATCTCTATACTGTTTTCCATATTGGTTGTACCAATTTATATTCCCACCAACAAGGTGTAAGAGTTCCCCTTTTTCCATATTCTCACCAGCATTTGTTACTATCTTTTTATTTGATAATAGCCTTGAATAATTATTTATCTTTTTAAAATTTATTTATTTGAAAGGCAGAGTTACAGAGGCAGAGAGAGAGAGAGAAAGGTCTTCCACTCACTGGTTCACTCCTCAAATGGCCACAACAGCCAGAGGTGGTCCAATCTGAGGCCAGGAGCCTGGAGCTTCTTCCAGGTTGCCCATGAGGGTGCATGGGCCCTAGGACTTGGGCGATCGATCTTCCACTGCTTTCCTAGGCACATCAGCAGAGAGCTGGATTGGAAACGGAGCAGCTGGGACTCGAACTGGTGCCCATATGGGATGCCAGCACTGCAGGTGGTGGCTTTACCAGCTATGCCACAGCACTGGCCCCTGTGTACTTATTTTTAAAAATGATTTATTTATTTGAAATGTGTATATATATATATATATATATACACACACACACAATGTATATATATGTGTGTGTGTGTGTATATATATATATATATATATAGAGAGAGAGAGAGAGAGAGAGAGATCTTTCATCTGCTGGTTCACTCTCCAAATGATCACAAAGGCTGGACCAGCCTGAAGCCAGGAACCTGGAACTCCATCCATTATTTGGGCCAACTTCCACTACTTTCCCAGGAGCATTAACAGGGAGCTGGGTCTGAAATGGAGCAGTCAGGACTTGAACTCATGCTCATATGGGATGCTAGCATCCCAGGTGGCAGCTAACACACTGCACCACAATGCTATCCCCAAATGATTGTATTCAATTCATTAAATTTCCTCAAAACTCCCATTACTGCTTCTCAGTTTCTTGCCATGTAAGTAAGAGTGAACATTATGGAAGCAGAGCCCATGTACTAGGTTCACACTGACTATGGCATGAAATTTCATTAACTCATCAATATGGCACACAAACAGGTGGAAGGAGAGGATATGTGACAGAACTTATCCTTCAAAAGCTGGGTTAAGACTGCCTTTCCTGATAACCAGTGGGTGACCATGTCTTAATATTTCTTTGTTGACTGTGGTCTTCCTCAGAAAATAATCTGCTTAAAGGGAGTTTTACCCTCAACGACCATCCAAATTCTCCACTATAAATAATCCAGTATCAATTCCTGCCTAGGCCAGAGTACTCTAGGCCTTTTTCAGAAAAAATGTTCACTTTCAAGATTTGGCACAAGATACATTTAAAAACAACATTCCAGAGAAAGCCTGAAAGATCACGGAGCTACCTCAGAATCAGAATCCATGTTTCTTGTAGTATTTCCTGTGCTTTGGATGACACTCAGAACATATGTACCTCTTCATCGAACAGTATTCCCCTCTCATTTTTGGCATGGGAAGAGTAATGGGTAGAACTGTCATTCTGGCCTTCCCAGGACTTAAGGAACCAATCACCAAGAATTTATCAATGTGTTTGATCACTGTATCAGCACACATACCAGCACTGTTAGCAGCTCTGGCCATGGCAGTCATTAGCCAAGGCTGAGTTCAGTGAATACCTCACCTACACGACCACTAGTCCATTTACGTTAGTCTGCTCTTCGGCAAAATCCTATTTAGCTACAGCTTTGCAGATGTCCAGCTCCTCGGATTTGTGACTGAATGATCTCATATTTTCCTTTCAATTATTTCCAGATCAGCTTATGAGTAAATCTTTAAAAAGTAATTGTTTTTAATTACAAATATTCTTCATATCTGTGCTTATTCACCAAAAACAAACAAAACAAAACAAAAACCCCAACAGACAAACTGAATTTTTCTCTAACGCAATGAGCTTCACTGAAAACTATGCTGAGAAAAAAAGAGTATCATGAGGGGAAAAGTGTTTTTTGTTTTCTTTTTTTAAAGGAGAAGTTCAACAAACTGAACAATCAGTGTAGGTTCAACAGACTACCTGGCTTACTGACAGAAAAAGCTATATTTCATAAATTCTTTAGTCCAATAGTAACAGTGGTTAGATAAGCGCCAGAGTTGTAGCACAGTGCGTAAGGCTGCTGCGTATGACAATGACATTCCATCAGTGTCGGTTCATGTTTGGACTATTCCATTTCTGATCCAGTTGCCTGCTAATGTGCCTGGGAAAGCAATCAAAGATGGCCCAAATACTGGGGCCACTGCCACTCAGGGGAGAAAGCTGGATGTGCCAGTTTCCAAGCTTCGGTCTGGCCCAGCCCCAGCCTTTGGGAAGTGAAAAAGCATATAGAAGAACTCTACTCTCCTTTTCTCTCGGTAACTCTGCCTTTCATATAAATAGATAATAAATAAACTGAAGGGAAAAAGAGTGATGGGGGTCGGGGGAGAAGAAAGGAAGAAGGCATGAAGGAAGGAAAGTTGGTTGGTTGGACAGTTAAGTACACTGACTAAAGTAGTTAACGTAGGAGCTGCTAGTGAAGAGGTGGCTAGGAAGAAACTAGGTGAAAGAAAAGCAGGAAACATGACAACACAGATGACTGCCTTTTCAGAAATAATCCAAGAAACAATTCTCGGTAAATGCTTATTTTGTTCCTAATGTCATTCTATAAATTTATTTTATGTAAGTGAAACTAACTATGCATCTTCTATAATAAAAATGCTTATTTTAAAGTTTGAGTAAGGCCGGCACCACGGCTCACATGGCTAATCCTCTGCCTTGCGGCGTTGCCGGCACACCGGGTTCTTTCTAGTCCCGGTTGGGGCGCCGGATTCTGTCCCGGTTGCCCCTCTTCCAGGCCAGCTCTCTGCTGTGGCCAGGGAGTGCAGCGGAGGATGGCCCAAGTGCTTGGGCCCTGCACCCCATGGGAGACCAGGATAAGTACCTGGCTCCTGCCATCGGATCAGCGCAGTGCGCCGCCCGCGGCGGCCATTGGAGGGTGAACCAATGGCAAAAGGAAGACCTTTCT